CGGAGCGATCCACGACAGTATCGACATACCGCTCGCCGAACCATTTCCCGAAAGTCAGACCGATTTGGAGAAGGCGGCGCAGCAGAATCAGAGGCTTCCTCTTGTAAATTGAGGCTATTCTGGAAACACAGTAATCACTCAACAAGTCGGCCTCGGAAGCACTCAGAACAAAAAGGTATCCTGATTTCTCGGTGAAAGTGTCTATGTCGCCACGGCGAGCAGCGAGGCTTGTGGCGGCGCGTGGACTGGATTTTGGAGGGAAGCTCAGCCTGGGAGTGGCGGAGAAGGGACGACAAATGACAACTTCTTTTCCTTTTTTTTTTTTAATAATAATAAATGAAAAGTAAATTTAAAGTCAAAATTTAGTATAAATGATCATTTAATGATTATTTTTATCATCTTTTTTAAACTCATAATATCTTATGTCGTGTTGGGTGGGGCTCACTGATGTTATGTTTTTTGTACAAACGATCTGTACTGATTAGAGAATTAATTTGAGGATGAGAGCTTGTTTGAACTTTTTTGGGTTGCCAATTGTCAACATCTTAGCTTCAAATTCTTAACCTTTCTGTAGTTGTTGCCTTGCCCTTGTCCCACTAAATTTACTTTTTCTGATTAACTTTCCAAAAGGCGGCAAAGCCTATTGTTTTTAGGGCACGGTATCTTCTCGAATTGCTATTCTTCATAATTGTTGGGTCCAACATGGCTGTGGTAAGAGATGTATGTATCTCTTTTCACGTTATGCATGAAAATTGCAAAGCAAGTGAGATTGACTAGAAAGAAGAAAAGTAGGATGCTTCGTCCATTGTCTATGTAGACACCACGAAGGTTTGTTTTAAATAAGAGGATTAGGTTTGAGTGCTAGCCCAGGCACGTAGAGGAGATGAGTGAAAATGATAAGAGAAATTTGTTTTTTATTGTATAATTTAGAATTTTAAAAAAATATGAAGAAAAAAAAAAAGAAGAGAAGAAGAATATGAGATTCTTATGGTAAACATATCTCTTGGTGGGTGTTGGAATGGTTGGGGTGTTTCAGTTTTTTCCTATATGGACTACAAAATTATTTACAACCACTTAAGCATAGCACAAGTAAATCAACCATCAATTATATTAATAGCAAAATTATATATACTTTTATCATAAATTTAGAATTTAAGTTTTGATTTTTACGTATTAAAAAAATATACAAAAGTTACCAAAAACTTGAAAGAAACCTTGCATACACGGTACACTTTTATTGAGCTCCGACCTCAGAATTATAAGTATCAATTTTTTTTTATCAAGGGCAATTCTCGCGAGAGACAAAATTTTGAAGACTTTATGCTCAACTACTGAACCATTCGGTTGAATGATTTATCGGTTTGAGTGGTTTCAATGGTTTTTATCGATTTTAAATGATTTATAGTTCAAATGATTTAAAATATACAACCAAACCATTTGTATTATCAGGTATTGGTTCAATCGGTCTGATCGATCGGTCCGATCCAATTTTCAAAACATTGATCCTAATAACCAATTGTTTTTAGTGGGGCTAAATTGGGCTTTCAACTACAAGCTGTTTTCAGTGGGCTTATTCTGAGTGATGTATGGCTAATAGGATCCAATTAGAGAAGTTGAACAGAATTTGATATGACCAATAACAATGACATTTGTCAATGGCCCAATATGTTTTGTTTTGAACTTGTATAATATTATTGGAGAGGGGGAGAATAGAAGAAGGCGCATAAATTGAGTTCAACTACTCCCTAGAAGCCCTTATTGTATAATCAAGCACGAGGCCTGAATGGATGCCCAATGTTTTCTTCTGTCTTTACTCTCTAGCCCCTTTGGTTGGTCCAAGAAGGCTAACCATTGCTTGGGCCTGAGTTCTAAAAGCACAATATTTTGACTTCAATATTCAAATCCCATTATGCAGCTCCCAGGTCCCAGCCAAGAAAATCTTCAAGCAGCTCCTACGTTCTGTTATTTAAAGTTATTTAGACAGGGGAAGAAAGGCTGAAAAGAAGTCGAATATGCCGAGACATATTACAACAAATAAACACTTGTTGATTCTTTTCATCCTTCCTTTTTTGTTTTTTTTTTTGCTTAATAATTAAGGTATTCTTAAATTAATTTGTACACGTATAAAAAATAATCTCTTTTCAATTCAATTATAATGAAATAATTTGTAAAGAATTACTTCATTGTCAAGTGAATGAACTCACTTACCAATTACATAATCACTCCTTATATTATTCACTTAGTAAAAGTGTTAAATTGTAATTTTTTGGCCATTTATTGGTTTTTCCTTCTCAATTTAAATGTATTTATTTATTTATTAAGTTAGTAGAGAGATCTGAGCACATCTCTCGAAGGATTTGAGGATATATGATGACTCACTGATCTATCTACATGATGTTAAAACCCCTGATGAAAGAACCACTTCTTGAAAACCAATTTCAGAATTGAACTGATGAAATTTAATTTTGAGAAATTAAAATCAACAGGGAACAATGAGAATCCCCGTAACGTGACTTATTTACACGTGCAACTTGCAAGGGACAAGTTCCCGGAAATCTGTCCTTTGCGGGCAACACCAAACCGACCCTTTGCCTTCGCGAATCCTCCTCCTGCCAAGTAACGTATATTCTGAAAGCGACAACCTCAACTTAGGTGTTATTCGGATTAAATTCGTAATTGAAAGATGGAAAATGATTTAAGAATAGTTTTTTAATTATTTTTTAGTATAATTTTATATAGTATTTAAATAATTAATATTTTTATTTATTTAAAACTTATATTATTAAAAACATTTAGTTATTTAATATTATATAAAAGTTGTATAAAATAATGATATAAAAAATTTATCCTTATATTATCATCCTTAAAATAATAGTTTTTGTAATATATAATTCACAATATTATTTAATAAAA